AACCCCCATACAAGCATTTTAACGATCTCTCTCATTCTGTCAAATAAAAATAAATAAATCTTAAAAAAAAAAAAAAAGAGTTGTGTTCACCGAGAGGCCTTCTCTGACTATTCTATCTAGAAGAAGTTTCCTCTCTGATAGTCACCATTTTGGCTATTTGTTTGTCTTTTTCATTGTTCTTACCCTACTGTGTGTATCTGATTGTTTACAGTGCCTTGTCTGCTGCTTATCTCCCTAGTGCATGGGGCATGGTTAGCACTCAATAAAGAGGTGGTTGTTGGTTGATGTTGATAACAGTGTTAAAACAAAGAGCCCCACAGGCCCAAAATGATGTCCCTATCTAACTGCAGTTTCACTCCGTCCTCCCTGCCTCCCCCCCCCACCACCTGCCAGAGATGTAACCTTAACCCATCAGGACATTTTTCTTCCCATCAGTGCCAACTGGTCTCTGGGTCTTCCCCGTATCCCAAAGAAAGATGAGGTAATCTGCATGATAGGACACTTTGCTTTTCACCTAGCAAACAGCTTCCTCTGGAATAATCCTTTTCCTTTGCTCATAACTCTCTTGCCCCCAACCTCTGCCTAGATCAACTTGCCATTTTGTACAACTCCTCTGAGTGCCTGTCTCCTTGCTACATGGGGTGCTGCTCGATTTGTGAATCATTTAATAAAGCCAATTAATCTTCCCATTTACTTGATTGAATTTTGTTGCTTAACAAGAGCAATAACTCACTGTATTCTCAGGACTAGGCTGAGCACTAATTCACCACCATGTCGTGTGGCAGGAAGGACAGGATTATTCCCGAATCGCGGATTGGAAAAGTGAGGCCCCGAAGCATCAGGCCAGGTCCTTGTTCCTCTTCATCTTCACCCACCAGGTTTTTACTGGGAAGTCTGACTTCTACAGCCCTATCTTCAGAAAGGGATGAGAGAGAAGACGGACAGACTGGGTGCTGGGATAGCGGTGGGGAGAAGCACTACTTCTGCCTTCTTGCGGGGGGAAACATTCCTGGAGGCCATCTTGTTCCCTTTAAATTCCATAGAGATCAGCTGGCGGGGGGGTGGTGCTGACTGTGGGAGCAGGCTGGGATGCGGGTCAGCTGTTCCCTGGGCTTCATCTGTATCCAAATTGGGGTCCATGGCAGCGTGTGGATCCAAACCCATCTATACACACTGGCAGTTCTTTGTACATGTGTGTGTGGGGGGGTGTTGCAGTGAGGTGGGCTGGCCAGTTGTGTTCTGAGAGTTGGGGCTCCTCTGAAATTTTTTTAAACTTATGAATTAATTTGATACTAGAGATGAAGCCAGAAGCCAGGCACCTTTTTGTCTGCACTGTAAAATTTTTGGTAAAAGTTAAAAGTAGAATTTCTCTTGATTCTTATTCAAGAAAGTACAAATAACATTAAGAATATGGTCAATGTTCTGATCATGCAAAGGATGCAGAAATGATCATGTCCTTCTGTTGAAGGAACCTGGCAACGGCTTAAAAATTGATAGGATCAAGTTTGTTTATTTATTTATTTTAAAGACTTTATTTATTTGACACATAGAGACATAGCAAGAGAGGGAACACAAGCAGAAGGAGAAGCAGGCTTCCTGCCAAGTAGGGAGCCGGATGTGGGGCTCAATCTCAGGACCCTGGGATCATGGCTGAGCCAAAGGCAGATGCTTAACTGACTGAGCCACCCAGGTGCCCCGATAGGATCAAGTTTAGATTGACCATTGCATTCGAGGCCAAAAAGACGTCATTTAGAATTTGATTTGGGGAAGTTTGTCTAAAATATCAAAAGGTTTTGGACACTTGCCTAAATAGGATCACAGATCATTATGAAACAATACTTATTTATTTAACCAAAGTGACCATAAAAGATTTTAAAGGCAAGTACAGAAGGTTATACAGTTGTGAGCAAAATTTAGCTCTTTTAATATTAAGAAAACTCAGTTTTCCTAAGTAAACAAGGACTCGATGATAAAGAGAACATGAAATACAGGAAATTATCCTGATAAGACAAAAAATCTTAGCTTTCTAGACAGATGACTTAAAAGGTAAAGAAAAAACTTTTTATAATCTCTTATCAGGAGCAGATCAATAGTCTAAGAAAACTTTGTTGTTTTAACAGATGAAGGAAAATTAAGTTTTACTTTTACATGAGTACATGACTGATTTTGAAGGTCAATTTTATAACCCTTGGAATAAATTCATTCAATTTTAGCCAACTTGACCCTACAAGGTAAGATTCTCTCTCTCCTCAACTTTTTGTATCATTTTGTCCTTTATTTGCCTCTTTCCCATTCTGAACTAAACAGTTTTACTGAAGGACAAATTTGCTTTCTTTTCCTTTAACAAAAATGTATCTCCCTACTTCATACCATTTCTTAGCCAAAAACACTTCCTACTCATCTTGCATAGTTTCCCTTATTATTTCTAGTAGCTTTAATTACAAATATTAATTAGAATTCTTCACCCTTAGGAGCCCTAATTTTCAGTGAAAACTAAGAAGT